TCAGCCCCCAACCTGTACTGGGACATGGTGTTGTTCTTCCCCAGGTGCAAGACTCTACACTTCCCCTTGTTGAATTTCATCAAGTTTCTCCCACACCCTCAACTCTCCAGCCTGTCTAGGTCTCACTGAATGGCAGCACAGCCTTCTGGTGTGTCAGCCACTCCTCCCAGTTTGGTGTCATCAGCAAACTTGCTGAGGGCACACTCTGTTCCGTCATCCAGGTCGTTGATGAATATATTGAACAGCACTGGTCCCCATACCGACCCCTGAGGGATTCCACTAATCACACACCTCCAACTAGATTTTGTCCCATTGACCACAGCTCTCTGACTCCTTCTTTTCAACCAGTCCCTGATCCACCTCACTACCTCATCATCAAGACCACACTTCCTTAGCTTATCTATGAGGATGCTGTGGGAGACTGTGTCAAGTGCTTTACTGAAATCAAGATAAACGACATTTACTGCCCTGCAATCATCTATCCACCTAGATACTTCCTCATAGAAGGCTATAAGGTTGGTCAAACATGACTTCCCCTTGGTAAAACCATGTTGACTGATCTTAATGACTCCCTTATCCTTGATCAACTCCTCTCTGTGGTTCTAAATTAAGATGAAAGGGATTGTTTTTTTCTTCACACAGTATTGCAAGGACAAATTAATTATTATTTAGAAATGTTTGATAACTCAACTAACATAATCCATTACATTGCAGACTTCTGGAAAGATATGGCTTAGTCTCCTCCAATGTTCTGTCAGTAACTGCTCTGCTGACAACAAACAAGAACATGAGTTAATTCTGGCTGAGCAGCATCAGAGTTCTGTCTCAAGAGATGTAAATATGCAGGAAATTAATTTGAGTTCTTTGCTTCATAATGATCTATACAGGCACCAGTCTTCAGCAACAAAGGCAGTTTATGAACCAGTATCCCAGGTATGACTAGGATCCAAATGGTGGATCTCCTAGTGTATGTCTCATTTCTGCAAAAGGTTAATGGCTGTGATTTACAAACATTATTTAAATCCAATTAGATGGTGCACACAGGGTACAGTACAACATACTTGGCGATGGCGTGATTGTTTTATCATTTGCCACATTTATAAATTTTCTTTCTATAATGTCTCATCATCAGTCTTGAAATAAATGAAGATTGCATTAAGAAAACAGAAACAAACAGATAAATCAGTGCCCCAACATTAGAGTGTTACCGCTCTCCACGGAAGTGGTTATAGACAACCGTCCTCATTAGCAGCCCTGCTTTTCTCTAAGGAGTCAACACTTTGCTTCTGGAATGTTTGCTTAGGGGTAATATAAAAATAGTAGGTGTTACAGTAGGTGTTACTGTTATAGTCACACTGTTCCATAAAAATACACATCCCTCTCAGATCTAAACTAAGAAAATTCATACAAAAATATTTTTGGGTCAGGCAAATTTTTAAAAAAACAAAACAAGTACACAGCAATAATAATAGAATAAAAAAAAATGCATGACTTATCAACAAATTTCACCTTAAGGCACAGGAAGTGCAAGTTCTGTAAAGTGTAAGGGACAAAGTTGTGCAGTGTTGTTCTGCTGCAGGGAAGAAGCTAGAAGGCAGGCTGAGTGACAGACACAAAATACCTGCTATGCTTCTCTTGTGCCAGTTTATCTTTAGGAATTTGCCTTGTGTTTGTACTGCTCTATATGTGATAGAGAATAACATGAGTTCAGCTGGGAGCAGAACAATAACTTTGTATTTCACTAAATCCTAAATCCTAAATTTAGGATTGTACAAGACAACACAGGCCAGAAATTTCCTGTAACTGAAAGATGGTGCTGTAGAAGTGAGACAGAACTTTGTTCTAGCTGAATTATTTATGTAATGATAGCATGATTAAAAGGTGTTTTGTGTTAAAACTTGGATTAATGACAGCAGAAACTATTTTTCTGATGTACATTACAATTCTACTAACATATAAAGGGCACATTGAATTCAGTAAATTTGATTAACAGACGTGCAATGCTGTTCTTAGCACATGCTTTCCTCTTTGTAACCAGTAGTCATTAACTTTTAGCAGTTGCCAATATATTGCATCAGTTTGTAAGCACTGCCTTCCATTACAGTGTCAATGACTATTGAACAAAACAAACAAACAAAAAAAGGATTTTATTGTAACAAGCAGAAGTGCTCTACTGAGCAATACCAAATCAATACCTATTGATTGGGGCAAAACCAAATTTGCCTATTCCTAGCAAATGAGTGCTTTTATCTAATGCTACCAGCTAAGCAGATGTTAGCTTTTAAATGGTGCATTTTTCAGAATTGCTGTGGAATATGTACTGCACAAGATGAAAAAATGCTGTAGTGTGCCTGCTCAGAAGTAGGTCTGAAACAGTTTAATCTGCTTTTCTGATTGCTTCATTCTTTATTTGTTTTAACTCTGATCCCTAATCACAGAGAGCAGTAAGCAGGCAGAACAGTTGCTGTAGGACAGGCTTTCTGTTAGCAGAGAGTTCATTTCAAGGGCAATTTGCCAGGCCAAGGCAAGTACACTGTCACACAAAATCTGGATCCAATAGTTTGCTTTTCTTGATAATCAGAAGTCACACAATAAACTCTATTTCTGTTTGGTTTGTTTTAGCAACACCATTTCTTCCATGGTTTGCCACAAAAGTATGCTTATTGCTTTGCAAATTCATGAGAAGTGCTGAAACTCTTTATGGAAACCTTCATGTTTCCCTTTCAAGTCATAGTGGCACAGTGATTATTTTGGGAGCTCTTGGATGTGCCAGGGTGTGCTCAGCCAAGTTGTTTGTCATTGTCCAAGCTGCTGCTATTTCATAAACAGGTACAAGAAAAGTATAACTTATTTCTCCAGCATGAATATCTGCAACCAACATTGAGATCTGGGCTATATAGAAGTATTATGTATCTTCTACATTGTGTACCAGTCTGTGTTGCAGCCTTTCCATGAAAAGTCCATGAAGTAAACTAAAGCTAAGCCTACAGCAAACACCTGCCAACATAACTATAGCTGGAAGAGACATGAAAAATTGGTCTCTGACTTATTGTAACCATACTGGAAGAAATCATGAGCCAAACTGGAATCTATAGTGAGTTTAGCTTGATGCTGTCTTACACAGTAGTTTAAAGAGTGGCCTTGTCTGTACTGTGTAATACTATGTCAATACAAATTATTCATGCATGCAAGAACTGTATGGTAGTCATAATCTTAGTTTTTTTGCTCTCCCCCTCAAACTGTATTCCAAATAACTTTAAATTGTTAAAATTAATTTTTAAGGTAAGTATCCATAGCCTTCTTGCAATATAGGTTACCTTTTGAGAGGTGCTATTCAAAGAATGTGATTAATGTTGCTAGTGCT